AATAAATATTTTTTATTTTTACTTTTTCTTAAAATTACTAGGTTTTATATAAGAAACCATAACACACATTATAACATAATGTTTATAAAAATTAAACTGAATAAAAGGACAATTAATCACAGTAATTTGGTGCCTTGGTAGGTTTGTCGGTATATTAAAACACGTAGGTAGGTATAATAGAAATCCAGTCAATTAGCACGTTCGGATAAAGTATATGAATTTATTTTAGTATATGAAATTATTTGTTTTACTTATATACTGTTACTTTTCTGTTATTCGACGTATTACATTATATATTCTGCAGATCGCTTGTATAATATTACCTACCTAGGTAGTAGGTACGTGCATACGGTACCCCATAAATCACGATAATAATTTCTCCCCAACACGTTTTCTGACCACGTGGAAAATGGTGAAAAAAAAAATAACAAACCAACCGGCCGTAGTTAACGTAAACATTCGGTGAATTCATTTTTGTTGTTCGGTAACGAAATTTTAATCACTGCGGTAGCTATGCACTTATTGATCGTCTCTTGACATAATATATGCTGGGCATATAATAATAATATGACTAAGCGGTACCTATACCTATACCTACCTACGAAATTTATATAGCTACACGACACAGTAGGTAGGTAGGTGTATATATTATCATAATACATATTACATATCCCTGTAGTCTAATAATATATATTCGTTACGCATATGCGGATGGCTATATTAAGTATATATATATATGCGTTTTCGATCGTACGAGTCACGACCACCCTCACACGTGAGCCAACAGCTTAGCTTATTTTATAGCGTCAGTCGTCTATACGCAGGTGATGTGTATAATAATACGACGTATATAATTGTTATTAGGAATTATGTGGCCTCGGTCACCCAACCCCAATAGCCGAGTGTGTCGTCGTGGCAGGTGCAGTGGTGCATTATTTATATCGTATTAGAATAATGTCATAGGTACACACTACACGACCACGACATAATTATGTGTGAGTCGTGAGTGGGGAACCGGTGGTGTATATATTATTATATAGTGTATTGGTAAAGTTGCAGCCATGGGGTGGGGATGGGTCTGAGGGTCGGAGTGTCGTGATCGCTTATATTGGATTGCTGTGCAGGCTACCTACCTACCTACCTAAACGAACGACGCGGTTAAGGGGAAGAAAAATAAAACGAAGGGTTGGGGGTATAGAGGAGATAATCGCGTAGGTACCTTTGGTAGGGCTTCGCGTGCAGTTCACAATCACCGCCGCCGCCGCCGCCGCTATGCGACCCCATAATGCGTAGGTATATTATACGTACGGTGCGCGTGTGTATGTCGTACCTACCAATAGTGTTTTAATCTAAGGGTCACCCGAGTCGTCTAGGAGGTGCGCTCGTCAAGATATTATACATCYATCATTTTAATCACGGTGTAAATCAAGAAAAAAACTTTGTATTATTACGCTTACATCGTGTCGTTGTGCGGTTCGGAAATACGCGTTTTTTACACGCTTAAAACATAATATAGGTAGGTAGGTACCTACTAAAACTTTGGCCAACGGTCGTGCACAGCTCCTCCACAACCTGCTACGATGACAACGGGCCGTCGTATTGGTACCTACTACCTACTACAGGACTGATCGTAGTGAATTATTATTATTTATAATAATAAATATTAGGTTATACCTATACGACCTAGTAACTATATATTATTATGGTATAATAATCACGACGGGTACCGAAACGCGGTACTYATGATAATATACCAACACTGCATAATATGTTCACGGTTCTGCGGTGATTGAAGTCGCGTCTTCGSCAAGGTTCGGGTGTGAACAGGTTACCGAATTATGTACCTATACCTACGTTACATGCACGATTCTATATTAGATAATGATAATATAGTTCATACGTCGTAATATTATTGCCATCGCAAGCGTGAAAAGTGAGTCATTGTTATTATTTTTTATTCATATTTTAGATACTTGAATACTTTTAAGCGTAGGTGTCATTTTTGTTTTTTTTTTTTTTGTTTTGTTTGTGAGAGTTCGATATTCAAGTTTGATGGTAGTCATATTTATCATGTTGCAAATTGGATTTAGTTAGCACTTTTGAGAGGTCAAGATTACAAATGCCAAGTACCTACTTGGCAAAACTATTTTCTTATTTTTTTTTTTGTTATTAAAAAAACACACACATATATATAACTGCACATGTAGATAACATTTTATATACATGGTATAATTTTTTWWAAACAAATTGGCTCTTTTTGAGCTATTTATAGACAAGTGAAATTTTCGATTCTCTTCCAATTAATGTCAATAAAAGAATTTTTGCGTGGTCAAAAAACTTAAAAAGTACATTACAAAGTTTCTTTTAAGTAATAATTAATGCTATACAATAATAATAAAAATACAGAAGCACGATTTTTTAAAATCAACATTTGAAGTTTTTGTCTTTTTGATGTTCAAAATTCACCAAAATCATGAATATTTGTAGATTATTTTTTAGTTCGAAATGMACCTATAAAAATTTMAACAATTTTGACTTTAAAATGTATYAGGTACCTATTAAGTTTCTCATATGTAGTTTATTCTAAAGTCAGAAAGTCAGAAAATCTAAAAAATAAATTATACACTTAATCTTTTTCATAGATATTTGAAGTTAAAATTACAAAGAATAATTGTTTTAAATTTTTGTTCAAAAATATTAATTGTTTATATAATTTGGACATGAAGATTTTACGTACCTATATATTATTTTATATTATGTACATAAATTTAAAAAATTTAAATTAATTTGAAGCTATTGTCTATGCCCTATTTATTCCATGAACTATTATTCATAACATTCTATGCTAAGGTGGTATTGACTAAAAACTAAAAAGTCAATAAAAATAATAAATAATATAAATAAGTAATTAAATATGAATAATATAATAAATGATATACTTTCGTCAAAAATTAAATCAACCATCCGTTGTATAATATGTATACCTGCTTATAGTAAAATAAAAAAATGTAATATATATAGTACTTTTTTAAACATAGGCGGAGTTATAGATATATATTTGCTCAGAATCGTTTTTCATACATGCAATTATTTATCATGACATTAAAATTTAACATACTCGGCATCAATAATTTGTGCAGCAGATAAGTAGTGTGGTTAAATGCTTTCTCTCTTTTTTTGGTTTTATTTCACTCGTATAAGAGACTGCATGTCGATATGTTTGCGTAATTATAGAGTTGTATTATAATGTAAACCAATCATGACTACTACTATAAATTATTCCGTGATAAATATTTGAGTGTTAATCATCAAAGCTATATTAATTATAAAGCTTATTTTAATTGATATCCAATGTTTTTAATACAACACAATATTACACTGCAGARATTGTACGGTTTCTCCATCGAACGTGGTATYCTACATAAAAGCTCATTTCGGTTTGATATTTCACCTGCAATGTACGATTTATTTCTTTTGTCACTCTGTTATTTATGGTCACCTCGTAGCAGAATTGTGTGGGTATATTGTATATTGACATATTGTATTTAAATTTTGTTATACTWCATTAAACTCATTATAGAATATCAAATCGAAATTTGAATTAATTTCAATACCCCGTGGTGATTTAAATCAATAAAACAAAGAAAAATCATCARGAGGTTTCAAGTCGTATATAAATTGAAATCCGAGAAAAAATAATTATTCCCTTAGCAAATTATTATGGAATCGGTGAAAATTAGAGGAATGTCTTGAATATTTAAAATGTTATTTGAATCGATAAAAAAAAATATAGTTTTGATACTTATGTGTATTAATATCTACCTACGTCTAAAATATATACACATTTCAAATTTAAAAGATTATTGTTATCTTTAATTTATTAAATATTGCATTAAATACGTAACTTCAATAACTGTGCATATTATTAAAATACTACACTATAAGTATTGTTGATAATATATGATTAAACGTCGCATAGGCCGTACCTTATTGGTATAGTACCTACCTATATTATAGACAGTATACACAGCAGAGATTTATTTAGATTAAAAATGTATAATTTTGTTATAGTTACTACGTGTTGTATCTTATACAACTATTTTGATGTAAAAGGATAAACATTTTTTTTTTTTTATGTATCCTTTATTATTAATATTCACATGTCTCAAGTTTTTTACGTAACAATCATTTTTATCAACGACTGACTGAGGGTTGTTATTAACAGTTGAGACGTACCGACTCAGCTATATTACAGTGTTACACTTTATAATATATAACACTACGTAAGCTACTTAAAAACGATTTTAGAGATATAATATTTTTTTAATTATTAATAGATAATACCTACTGTGAAAARATTGGGCTAATGCTCGTTTACAGTTTTTATGTACGAGGGAATTCTCTCCATCATCAAAAATGKTGAGCGGAATTTTGTCCATTTACCGCTCATATTTTATAATTATTGCACCGAAGATTATACTTAATTTTAGTTATATGTATTTTTTAGTTCATTATTACGGTGAATTTAATTTTCATTAAAATTATTTTTCGCGTTAGAAATAGTTTTATATTTTCCTAAAATGATTTATTTAGACAGTAGGTTTATTTCTCAGAGGTACCGAACCGTGGCTTGATCATTTTTTTTTACATCGGGAAAGATAACCAATAAAACTGCAAATTACACTTCAACAGCTTTTTTTGGATGGGGGAGAGAGTTGYAATATCAGAAAAGCCTCGTAAGATTCCGGCATGGACCTGAGTTTTAGTCCTGAAAAAATTTAAATTCTGTTTGCGCCTATATTTATTTATTTAATGGCCGAAGCATTTTTTGCAGTCTTGTAAAAGACACTTTTGAAATTATATTTAAATACAGATACAAATACATCCATTCAGAAAGTATTTAAAATACGTTTCAAACACTTTTAAGAAAAAGTATTTAAGATACAAATACAAATATTATTGGAATGTATTTAAATACTTTTTAAATATTTTTTTTTATTTTACTTAGAACTAGTCAGTTCGTTAAATTAATATTATTTATTTAAGTAATTGATATTTAAATTTTGTAATTCCTAATTTAAAATTTTCACGATACATTTAATTAGGTGGTTATTATTAGAATTAATATTTATACCATTTTTTAAAATGTACTCTGAACAATCAAAATAAGTAACACTTGTTGTATTATAGCAATTTTTTAATCRTTCAGTAAACACTTGTTAATGAAATATTAAAATGTTGTAATAATATCACATTTACAAACGAACCAGACATCGGAAATTGGAAACCGGGGTTCTCAACATTTATCACCGAAAAATTATTACAAACAAAATACTATGACAATTTAAAAAAAAAAATATGTGAAAGTATTTGGTTTTCAAATACAAATAGGTACGTGCAAGACAGTATTTAAAATGCTTTCCAAATACTTAAACCAAAAAGTAGTTAAAAAGTATTCTAAAAACTATAAAAGTGTTTGAACACATTTACTCAAATACTTAACAACTACAACACTGCTTTTTTGTTACACAATGCGTATATTGTATATACCTAGTAAATTATAAAGATAAAATTAAGCATATTATGCATAATATGATGATAACCGTCATCGATAATATTTCCGTATATGTTTAAAATATACAACTAAAACTTAAAAACTGACTGCAGAGGACTTATTATAGGTCCACTGAAGCTATTCAATTACCTATTGGCTATTACTATTAGTCTAAACAGTTATTCACCAATCTACTGACATAAGGTATTAAGGTGTATTCTACAACTGCAGCTTGATTCTTGCAACCTTAAATGCAGGCTTATAGACACTGGTATAATTTTGAGACGGGATGTTCGAATATTTGCATATATACATACCTAATAGGCACTTACTTACACTGTTTGAAAAAACCTGATTCTCTCAATATGGTCTTAGTCAAAACAGATGTGATAATGGTAAATGGGTAATATAATATGAAGTTGTTTGGCCGTATGGTTAACTTATAATAGCTACAGTTTAGCTTCTACACACTATGTCGATGTTTTACAAAATGGCTGAGATAGGTTAACGCCTATACATGATATATACACTGCGCTTTAACCAGTGCCATTATCGTTATGTATACGAAGTGGATTTTTATATACCTATATGACTATTTGGACTAAATTGTGAAAGTGTGTTATAGGGTTGCAGTAGTTGGTAATTACATTTATTTTTAATTGCCCATAATGTAGAGCCATAAGAGCCGAGGTGAACATTTCTCCGTAGAAAAATTTCCACCCTAGACCGATACAATAACCATATATAATATAATAGGTGTCATAATTGAGAGAATATATATTATATATTTATTATATTATACTCCACAGTCTATACATAGCTATAATTGACTGATTTTCCTCCCATTGAATTAGTTACTCTTCACGAGTTATTCTTACTATGTTATTTACAAAGCGAGCTCACAGGGAAAGTAGAATAAGAGGCACTTTAAATACCTATCTAGTAGTTTTGCCTCTGCAAAGCTTTCATTTTTCTGTTTTTCATTTTTTTTTCACGAATCTCTACTATAATTATATAATCTGCATATCAATCACGATTGCAATATATTATGATGATTATTGATTAGGTACCTAATGAATGCTATTATTTAGATTTAAAAAATATAAATTTGATACGTAAATATAACATCTTATATCTACCAATAGAAATGTATTTATTTATTTATTGTCTGTTAATTTACTATTAATTCTTCGTTTCTAGATTTAAGTTGGGTAATTATATATTTTGTACAGGATATACTAGATTTCTGTGCATAATATGAATATTTATTAATCATTTTAAATGCCGAGTTGAAAAATTGACAAGAACTATATACGTTTTTAATGCAAGATATATCGGTGTGTTTCTCTATATCTAATATCTATCATACATAATATCGC